CCTGCAAATGCCCTTCCTGCTGCTACCCATGAATATTAAGATACAGCGTCCTGCTAGGGCGTGTCATTTTAGGGGATGAAATTTAATTTTTGCAAATTTCTTCAGTGAGGAGTCTGGCTATTCAAATCTGCTATTATTGTTGTGATTGGACAACATTTAGCTTGGTAAATCTATGTTTGATTAAAAAGCATATTAACTGCTCTTGGAAAACCAAATCATTTTCATTATACCTTTTGAAATGTCGAGTAATACTAAATAATTATAATAATATAATAATATAATATAATATAATATAATATAATATAATATAATACTGCAAGTTCTTGGCTATCATTTTTAATGATTTCTATGCAATTTTACACACATTTTACTTATCAAGCAAAGCTAAATTAAAATTAATGTAATCAAAATAACTTTTGAATTCCCAAGTCATATTACAACTTTTTAAAACCCCTCATTTTTGGAATTTGAAAGTTGAAAAATTCAGCATGCCCTAGGTCCCACTCCCTGTTGCCATTTCTCTGACTGTGATATTCAGACAAACAGATCATCCTCTTTGACTGGTCTTCTCCCAGAGGTTTGTACTGTAAACTTAGTAGCTGTGATTCTTTCATTGCAAGGGATTGGACTAGATGATCCTTGCGAGTCCCTTCCAACTCTACAATTCTATGATTCACCACACCTAAATTAAACTTAGGAATTAATTTTCCTCAAGTCTCATTTTTCCATGTTTCATACTCGTTTCTCTTCAACAATTCCAGTGTGGATAATACTTTAAATATTTCCAGTTGTTATTTTCCCTCCTTTCTTTCTTCTTTCTCCCCACTCCCGCTTTTTCCTTTAATCATGAAACAGATGTTTGGGGCTGCAGCACTTTCTCTGAACTTCTGCGTACATAATATCAGCGGCTTCCAAACCTTCTGCCTTCAAGCAATTCTTCCAACATTGGCTTTGCAGCTAATGGACATGGACTGCATTCTGCCGGGGATTATGGGAATCCCGGAGGCTGCCTTACACTAAATCAGACCATGGGCCCATTAGGCTCAGGACTGACCGCACTGACAAGCAGCCGCCCTCCAGGAAAATGCCTTCTCCAGCTCTACAGGGAGATGACGGAGGATGAACCTTGGACCTTCTGTACAACCAAGCATAAGAACACAAGAACCTTCCTGCTGAACAGGCCAATGGCCCATCTACTCTAGTCCAGCATCCTGTTCCTATAGTGGCCAACCAGATGCCTGAGGGAAACCCACAAACAGTACGCGAGAACAAGATCCCTCTCTCCTCCTGCGGTTTCCAGCTACTGGTATTCAGAGGCATTGAGGTCTCCAACTGCAGAGGTAGAGCATAACCATCATGGCTAGTAGCCGTTGGTGGCTCTGTCTTCCATGCATTTGTCTAATCCTGTTTAAAGCCATCCAAGATGGTGGCCATCACTGCTCCCGAGGGAGCCAGTTCCATAGTTTGCACAGTGTGAAGTAGTACTTTCTTTTCTCTGTCCTTTATCTTCCAACATTCACCTTTGTTGGATGTCCACAAGTCCTTGTGTTATGAGGGAGAAGAACTTTTCTCTATCCACTTCCTAAGTGCCATACACAATTTCATAAACCTCTACCATGTTGCCTCTTCCTCGCCTTTTCTCTAAACTAAAAAGTCCCAAATGCTGAAACCTATCTTTATAAGGGAGTCACTCCATCACCTTTATTTTAATTTTTTCATTCATTCACCTTCATCATTTGGGTTGCCCTTTGAAGCTTTTTCAGCTCTACAATATCCTTTTTTAGGTGAGGCATGTGCTTTCATGGAGCTACAGAAGTGTTCCAGAGCACATGTAGAGTTTAGGCAGGGCACAGTTGGCCCTTACTAGCACCATGAATTAAAAGCATGTCCTACAATACACCCTTCAGTATGACTTGGTAGGAGACCAGCCATAGTCGACATGGGCCAAGCTATCATTCTGCTCCCTTCTATCTTCCTGGTCTCCTTGTGGCTGGGAATGATGGGAGTTGTGGTCCAAGGCATCTGGAGAGTGTCAGGTCGACAAAGGCTGCCCTATGAGGCCCCACTGAAATGCACTATACATTTCAAACAGCGTCCTATCACTTTAAACAGAAATGGCTTCCCCCCAAAGGATCCTGGGAGCTGTAGTTTGTTAAGGTGGGTGAGGGTTGTTTGGAGGCCACCTATTCCTTCTCTCAGAGCTAAAATCCCCAGAGTTCCCTGGGAAGAGGGCCTGATTGTTAAGCCATTCTGGGAACGGTAGCTCTGTGAGGGGTATAGGAGTCTCCTAACAACTCTCAGCACCCTTAACAAACTGTAGCTCCCAGAATTCTCTGGGGGAAGCCGTGACCGTTTAAAGTGATATCACAGCACTTTGTGTGTATTATGTGAATGTGGCCAGTTATATCAGGAGTGGCTAACCTTTACTGACCCAAGGACCACAACGAGGGCTGGCCAACCCTGAAGGCTGTATGCCTCCTTCGCATGAACACACAGATGTGCATACACACATTTGGACGAACACACAATATTCAGACCCCAGCACTCTTTTGCTAATTAGCAAAGAAGCAGAATGGAGTTCAGGGGTGGAAGAAAGTCCTCACTTTACCTTTCCTCCCTCTTCTGCGTCTCCACCATCTTGGGAAACAGAAAGGAGCCCTTCTTCCTAAGACCTTCCTACAATAGCAGCACCCCTGAGAGAGAAAAAGGCCCCCTTTAAAGGTAAAAAGAGGCAACTGATTTAGAGACATGAGGTGTTTTGGACACCTAAGAAAGCCCAACAACAGCTATCGAAGGGTGAGGAAGAGGAGCAAGCTGAACACAGATTAACAACAAAAATAAAATTCTTTTCTTTGCAAAAAAGGCAAATGAGGGAGGCACGTTTGTAGGGGGCAGATATGACCTGTGGGTCTGCTACCCCCACACAGAAGAGTTTTTGAAGAACCCAGTTTGAAAGCCTCACAACCCAAATCTCTCACTTGCGTTGTTATATTAAGCATATTTATGCACTGGGCTGATGCTGTCGCAATAAACTTCAAATCAGCACCTTCAAATAAACATCCCCTTAGAAATCAGACAGCAGGGGAGCGTAATTAATCATCTTCGTAGTTTAAATGATAAATATTTCAGGCCATGATTCTTTTCTACAGGTCATTAAAGTATTCCACTCCATCTACCCTGGAACGAAATCGCAGCCATAGTGCAGGATATCTCTACTTTGGGTTTAGAGGTTTGCCAGAATCAATGCAAAAAAACTCAAATTCAAAAAGAAATTGCACACAAAAAAATGAACTTTCAGCAAACACTTTATCTTTCTGAGGAGAAATCCTATTTCCATATTGTAGAAGTAAAGGTCATGTATTATACATGTATTATCTCACTGTCAGCTGCTTAGGCAGAGACGGGGTACCTGTGCCCCTTCAAATGTTGTTGGGACTCCAGTTCCCATCAGCCCCAGCCAGAATGGCCAATAGCCACAGATGATGGGAGTTGTAGCCCAGCAAGACCTGCACTGAGGGGTTCCCACACATTACGCACCAAAACAAATCCTGCTACCAAGTGTACTCTTGACAGTGACAGGGAAGCTGCAGACAATCCTGGCCCTCTGAGCAGTGAACCTATGTGATCTACGTTAGCAATCATGTGCCTGTCTCACCCATACGCTGCATGTTTAGGTGCACACTTATAATGTGTGAAGCAGAACCTCTGACAGCCAAGGCAAACATGGAGTCAGATCGACAGACCCAGGAAGACATTCACTAGAAAGTTCTTGCACAATGAACCTACAAAAAGCAATTGAGGATTTTTTCAACAGCACAGAAACCATGCACTGGGCTTGCGTAGGAATCTTTCTAACAGATTTATCCCTCAGTCTGCAGACCTATTACCAATTTTGAGACCCGAAGGATCTTCTTTTATAATGAGAGCTTTGAAAGTTTTGCATATATAGCTCCCTCTCTTTTCAACTGTGAGTCTCTGAATCATTATAAAGTATGAACCAAGCCTCTGTTAATTGCCATTACACCACACAACTGGACCAGTGAATTGCAACCCACCCCCTTCTATCTGAAGCCGACATATTCTGATGCACATAAAAATTAAATCCCATCCATCATTCAGGTTTTTTGGGGGGGGACCCCTAAAACTTAATCTAAACACCTTCCCAGGACAGTCTCTTCCCCAGAAACTCAGCATCTTGACAACAAGCTTTACAAGATAGGTGGGTCTTTAGCATCTAACCTTTAGAATGGTACACAATTCAGATATGTGCAGCAACAAACTTATGTGCAGCTTCGAAAAAGATGTTTGCCCTGAAAGGCACCAGCAAACAGTACAAAGCTGCACGTTTGCTTATTAATTTCTTTCGGACTTGTGTGCCTGTAAGAAGGTGCTTAGAGGCAAAGACTGCACCTAAATGGAACTTATTTCCAAATAAACTGGAAGAACCAAGAAATGACAATGCAGTGGAGAATCGTCAACAAATTACTGTCTCTCAAGTCAACCTTGAGCACATTAATTCGCATATGAATACAATTTCTTTCAGCTGCACTTCCTTTTTTCTGTTTCTGAGCTCAGGATTACTGCAGATGAAACAGACTTGCAAATTAAGCTCCATCGAAACAATTTCAAACCAAAAGTGACTGGAGAACAAGTGAGCAAATTCCCACCAGTGACAAATTCACTGAAAAGGCACAACCCTTTGCGAACTCTCTTTGGGGCTGTCAAGTGTGTGCACACACCTGGGTTAAAATCACCTTTCAATGGGCACATTTATTTAGCTACAAAGCAGCAGTATTGGTGAAGGCAGACAACAATCGCAACAGGTGCTTCAAACACAACGTTACAAGACAGAAGGCAGGGAATGTATCGGAGGGTTCAATCTGGAAACAGCACAAGCATTTCGCAGTTTCCGACTCTACTCATCTTACGGCTGAATTCCTGCTATCAAAGAGTGCTAAGTTCCATGCGTTGGACGCTGCCAGGAAAAGTGTTGACCTTACCTGGAATCTGGGTACTTTGTCAAGGTGGCCAGGCTACTGGTGTACATGTGTCCTCCTACATCAATGTGCACGGGGGCGTTGGATTTGGTGAGCTGAGCTGGGAGAGGGATTCCTTGGGCAGCCAATGGAGAAACCGGAGACCGTGTTAAAGACAGCCGGGACATCGCTCTGCCTTCCTCCTAGAAGCCCCCGACAGAAAAAAGAGAAGAAGAAAAATCCTCTTAAGCACAGCTGTGCTTTACCTTGATTCCAATGAGATCACAGATCTAATAAGATCATTTTTGCATCTGCCTGATCACATATTCAGCTAACAAATTATTGCCACCTTCGTAATTAAGTGTATTTGCATCATACTCTTCAAAGGACCAGCGGGCAAAGAGAAAAGATGCTTATTAGCAATAAGAAATCAAGCGGGGTGGGGGGGGATCTTTTTCAAGGTGTCAGCCTCAAGGGGCATAAAACAAACTGCAAAATTCTAATTAAAGGTCGCGGGCTTATGTGTTAGATGTGAAATATCCCCTGACAAACGAATAACCAATTTGTGAATTGGGATTCAGGGGTTTTTGCAAGTTTGTCTCAGTAACGAGACACCTCTAAATTAGTGACTTCCTCAGTACCTAAGGCATTTCATTTAGACATGTAGTAAAATTCGCATCAAACATAGAACATTTTTTTTTAAAAAAAAACTACCTACACAACACAACTACTAATACCTTTTTTTTATCTAGAGGAAAAGCCTTCTAGCTGAAGAGGAGGCTAGAACAAAAAACGTCATTTAAAAAGTGACCACTGTTACCCTCTGTATACCATTTCCAAATATCTTGTGTTCTCAGCAGAAGTCATATATTACAGACCTATCTAGGCATACAGACAACAATCCTGTTTATAGTCAGTTCTTTCTTTTTTTTATAAAAAAGGAGTTTAAACTCAAAAGACTTTCTTTCCATAAATTTATTCACTAAAATTCAGATTTCTATGAAAATGTCAAGAAACTTTGATTGCCCTCAGCCTTCGAGAGAATAACAATCAGATTTTAAACTTTGACAGACAGCAGGTACTTCAGTTTGCTTTAATGCTTAGAAGCTATTCCGACACGCAAGTGGTATATAAATTAATAAATAATAATCTGGATAAAAGAATACTGTCACACATATAGGCAACCAACACAAAATCTTGCAAGACATTCCAAGTGGCACAGCCTATAAACTTCATTTCTAAACACCCCCCCACCCACTCATTACAGCAAAATATGCCAAATATTACAGCTATGAAACATTTCAGAGAATAATTTAATTGACTTGGTATTTTTATTTGCAGTCACAACACAGAGCATCTATATTCTGCTAACATCCGACAGGCACACCCTATGCAATATTTCACAGTGAATTTCCATTTCTTACAGACTCCTTTGACCGTACTTCTCAGAATCCAAAGTCTCCCTTTTTAACACCATCGCAACAATACGACTAGCTTGGACAAAATCACCCCAACAGGCAGAAAACATTTGCTTTTCTGAATTGCATAGAAACTGACTGAAAAGTAATTCTGGGAGATTGGTACAAGGAATATAAACTCCACGTTTAATTGACTGTTTTGCCACCAGAAATACATCACCCCATTACGGATCCACATCCTTTTCTGTCTTGACACGCAGGAGTGCAGAACGGACATCTAACCTGAGCGCTACCCCAAAGATTAGTGCTGTCCCAGAAACTTCAGCCAGTTGGCAGGAAATCATCATTAGCATTTTGACAATAGCACCACCTTCAAGGAGAGGGGCTGAATTCTTTAAAAGAGCAAATGACTCTTGCTTCTTGCCCTGAGCCATCTTAAGCAACTATTTCACATCATCAAGGGAACTACTTGCTTTCAACAAATAATTTAAGAGTGTCAGCCCCATTGTCTTCTGCCATTTCTTCCTGCTTGTAGATGCCCCATCTCCCCAGATGCCTACAAATTATCCCAACACCAAAGAACACAATAAGCTCCTATACGTACTAGATTCCTGGGTTTAAATTTTTGGGGGTCTCCAGCTAGAAGCTTGATGTCAGCGCTGCCTGTCTTTGTTCTGACCCCAGCTAGCCTATTATCCCCTAATAATAGTGTTACAGGAGCTGCCTAGGAAGTCCCTATAACTAAAGGCAGCAATTTCCTTCGGTGAATAATCACCTTTCTGCCTTCCTCCTCCTTCAGAATGAAATCTTAGCACAGAGAAAGCCCTTCAATTCTTACTTTGCACTGGTTTTATCTTGCAATAGAGACTTCTGGCAAGAAATGACAGCCGCTAGATAAAGGCAGAAGGCGCAGACTGTTCCGATTTGCAGAAGCAGGATTCCCACTGAATTTACAGAAATGAGTGTAGTCCAAGTGTTCTAGCTAACCTACAACAGCAACATCTCTGTCTGAGGGTCCCTCATCCAAAATATGTCTCCTTGGAATCAAATACCACTCTGAGGCATAACCCTGGTAAGAGGGATTAGGAATGCAGGCTCACAGCTCCATCACAAGCATTTTTACTCAGAAGTAAGTCCATCTGTTTCCAATGGGCTTCACTTTCCAGCAATTTTGCATAGGGCTACAACATTAATTTCTCATCCTGGATGTCAACTGTGCAATCTAGCAATTTATACTATTCCCTTGCATGGCTTTTTGAATTACCTCTGTGCACTGTTGCTGTCTCTCACTTGTTAGATGCAGGAAAAAAATTATTCAAGTCTGCAGTCCACAAAATTGAGCAGATGCTAATCTAAATCTAATGGGGACCCAGATCTGAATTTAGAGTGGACTAGAAAGATGGGTACGCAGATTACAAAAACACCACCCAGGTTTTTGTTTGTTTTTGTCACAGAAGATGGATATTATGAGATGAACTGTAAACGTCAACTGACTCTTTTGCTCTCATTCACTTAAGATGACATTTTTTCTCAAGCACTGTATCTACACCATCAAAAAGTATTCAGAGAAAGGTAAATATTTTTGTATTTGTATCTGAAGAATACACTGAAAGAATTGAACTGTCTTTTGGTTTACTGCTTCTGAAATGAACTTTTGACATATTCTGAGGCAGTCTCAAGTGAAAGTTTTTACAGAGTAATTAAGAATTTTGTGTGTGTGTGTAAACTAAGCACACTGTATTAGTTCAAATTATCCCTGTGTGGTTTGTCTACACAGGAAGAGGATCTCTGAGAGTTTGCTGAAGGCAGAGATACTGATTCACTGGGAAATTCTCCTGCGCCAGCCCTGCTTGAAATGAATGGGCAGTCTTGCAATGCTCTCATTCAAAAGAAATCTCATTGGATGATGCCAACAACCAACAGACCTGATACCCAAACTGCCTCCATGTTGGTGTGCAGAGCAGCTTTCTAGCATCTCTCACCAGGATCTTCCAAAAGGCAGCTTATTTCTTCCCGCCTTCCTGTGCTAACTGCCTAAGTGCTGCTTGTAAAAACTATTTGCCCGTGGAAAGTGAAATAACCACCATCCTATGCTCATTTACACACAAAATGATTTTGTGTCCCATTGAGCTCACAGTTGTTCCGCTCTCTAGGGGTGATTAAACTAGCTAGGCTGCTACAGCTTGCAATGATTTCACCGAATCGCTTCCCCATGAAGTTGCTTCTTTGCTAAGCTGTTATTTTAACCATAAAAGGTAAACAGAAGGCAGTTGTAAGAGCTCCATTCAACTCCATGCCCAGGGCTATCACCCTGGGGCAGAGAATGCTGAAAGACTGCAGAAATTTCCAGGGTGTTGCCTCTGTCTTCATTCTCTCTCACACACATACAAGCCTACAGGAATATTATTCATTTAATATACACTCTAGATGCTACAATTTGAAATCCTAGTAAAAAAAAAAAGACTTCAAAAGTGCAAAATAAGTTTGGGATGGATAAAACTTTCCCTTTTTTGTACATACGCACCCTGGGGGGCCATAGTAACCAATACTGCTGATGATGGGGCGGGGTTGTGTTTTTTTGGAGGGGAAGGGGAGAAATATATATATCGTATACCTGAAAGCAACTGCAGAAACTAAAAGGCAAGGCAGGCCAAGGCCAAGGGAGGGAAGGTGAGAGGTTGCAAACAATAAGAAACTACAGCAAATGGTATGCAGGGATTAAAAACAAAACCAAAAAGGGGGAAAGCAGGCAAAGAAAGGAGCTCCAAAAGAGGGACAAAGTTTAAATCAAGGCACACAGACACTTAAAAGCCTACAGATGGGAAGCCAGACTAATTAAGGATGTAAAAACGCTTTTGTTTCCAAAGTTTATTGTTGCCAGGATAAAAAAAATTAATTGAAACTAATGCTGTTATTCACTCATGCAGTTTAATTCCTTCATGCCCATTTAAGAGATGAAATGAAAACTGCGGGTTTTTAAGAGATGCCTTGAAACAGTGCAATATACTCCCCCCCCACCGCCCTTCTCTAGGATGCAAAAGGGACATCTTCCTTTCAGCCAGCCAGCCGCTTATCAAAAGCTTCAAGTGCATCCAAACTACTCTAGCTAAGGACTAGAGTCCAGCAGGGAAGTCTGCAGGAGTCCCCCTGGAATGAATCAAGGGAGCTTGTGCAGGAGACCTTCCTGGGCTGCACCTCCTGCCTTTTATCAGGTCAAATCTAAAACCTGCTCTCTGGACCATCCCTACGTTGGGCTCTCTTGGTCAAAGGCAGGTCTAGGGCAGCAGCTGGATATAATCATTTTTCACAGCACCTTTTCTGCCCCGTAAGTCCTTGTCCTCAAGAGCTTTTGGAGAATATTAGTGCTCCCCTCCCTTTTGCAAAAGTCTTTTAACCTTTCCATAGAAAATGTGCCCGTGGGTTAAGACATAGAAGGCCTGGGACCATTGTCTGTGCAAAAGATGCTCATCTCTCCACAGTTGGGAGCCTTAAAAAGCCAGGGATGCAGGAGGTGGAACAACTGCACAGCCAGGGAGTTGACAGCTGAGGTGTAATCTGGTCATTAGGAGTGTATTGGGGTGCAAGTTCATGGCCTCCTGTCATTATCTGCCTAGGTTTTTTATGGGAGTGGATGGAGAGTTCAGCCAGAGCTATTGCTAGGAAGTGGCTTCCTTAAAAAATTTCCCAGCACACTTAAGCACAGAACTTGGTCTGCAAGGTGCTTTCTGTCCCTCCATCCTATGTGTGCACACAAACAAACACAACACACAAGCCTGCACTTTCCTCCGCAGGAAGAAGTTGCACGGGTCCCAGCTGAAACTTCCCTCTATATTGAAAGTGCAGTCTTCTGTAGGCTCACCTGGAGGGCCATCCCATTATGTTGAATGGGCCCCAGGTTAAGTTCTGTATCAGAGAGCAGCCTGGGGGTCTTTAAGACTAAATCTCTGCACAAACTCAAGCAGGCATCCCCATCTACTCGCCAGCGTGCAAGTGGCCCAACACATCAAAACACCCCGCGCCGGTCTCCTTTTTGAGTGCTGGTCATCCTCTAAACAGCATTCAGGGAGGCTCGCTCCAAACTTTTGGCTTTGCCAAAGAAAAGCTCCCAGCAGTAGCGGGAAGCAGCCCCCCCTCCCCAAACAAACAAACAAAAATCAAAGAATAAAATTAAATTAAAAGAGCAACATGGCGCCTTTTCTTCCTCTTTCACAGAAGCAGCAAAGCAGGCAGATGGAAGAGGCAGAGAGTAGTGTCCCCCCCCTCTAGAAAGGGGAGCTCCAGCCCCAGAGCAGGGCTTGGGGAGCCCCGCGCGCGGCGTGTACCGACAGCGCAAACCGACGATCGCCGGCAGTCCTGGGCCAAGCCGGCTCGGCTCGCCGCCCTCTCTTAATCGCTGGCGCCAGACTTTCATTCACAGCCCGCCTGCCTGCCTGGGGCTTTGGCTCCCCCTCTCACCCGCTCCCCCCCAAGCGCTTTTCCTTCATCATCCTCACCATTTCTTTGGCCTTTTGTGCAGAACCAGCCCTCGGGGAAGGGGGCTTCCTAAAGAAGGGACGCCCCCCCTTTTCCCCCAGCCGGGGAGAAAACGGAAAGCACCAGGAGCGCCAATGTTGCCCCCCGCCCCGCACGGCACTCCCCCCCCAAAGCAGTCGGCAGCCCTTTCTGGCGCCCCTCATCGTCACCCCAACCACCGACCCCCCCCCAAAGCCGCGGCGGCTGTCAAGGCGCGCTCGCTCGTGCATGTACCAAACGCCGCGGGGGCCCCAGCGAGCGCCGCGCGCTTCCCTCCACGCCAGCCGCAGCTCCCTTGGCCCCGGATCCTTTCCCCCTCCCCCTTTCCACCCCTCTTCCCGCTTCTCCAGCTTGATGCTAGGAGGGCAGCAGCGAGAGGCGAGCAGCCTCGGGCGAAGGGGCTCCAGCCAAGCTGGCCATCATCGCTGCTGCCTCCTGCCTTTTTTGTCTTTTTTTTTTTAACGGGAGAAAAAAAAAATAATAAAAGGCAAAGCTACACACATACGCGCGGCCGCGCGGAACAAGCGCGCGCACGGAGCCATGCGTGCACACGCGTGCACACACCACACACACACGGTGCAAAGGAAGGGTTTGGCTGGAAGTGTCACTGTAGCTTTAAAAAAGGCAGCTGCACACACAAGACCCAAGATCCGAGTTGAGTTGCAAGAACCACTTGGGGAGGGGGGATCCCCTGCTTTGGAAGGCGCGCACGGTGCAAACCAAAGGAGGAAGCAGAGAGAGGGAGAAGCAGGAGGAGCCCCCTCGCCCGCCCGCCTTCCCCCGCCAGCCCGGTTCGCCCGCCTTACCTTGAGCGCAGGCGGCGAAGAAGAAACGCCGACGAGCTGGGCCAAGCCCCCCGTCCTCCGTGCTGCGCGCCGCTCGCCTGGCGAGGCGGAGGGAGCTCGGGGCGCCTTTGTAGGTTCCTCTGGCTGAGCTGCCTCCGACCCTGCCGCGATGCAATATTATTGTAGATCTATTTGCCCAGGCTTCTTCTTCTCCTCTCTCTCTCTTTTCTTCTTTTCTGTTTGTTTTGCCTCGTCTGCGCGGGGAGGGGAGGAAAGCGGGGTGGCAGAGGAGGAGGAGGGGGGGATCGGGGAGAGAAGAGCCTTAAAACAGAGGAGCCGAGGCTGCTCGGGAGAAGAAAGGCAATAATCTCCTCTCTAAATAACGCGGGGAGAGGAGGGGGGAAAGGGAGGGAAAAAAGAAGGGGGAGAGAGAGAGAGAGAGAAAGGAAACCGCGAAAGGGAGACGGCGGCAGCAGCGGCTTCTCGCTCTGGGCTCTGAAAAAACGCCTCCGGCTCCGCCGCCACGTTAGGCTGCAATTAGCTCAGCCCTTTTCGCTCTCCTCTCGCCTGGGCTAGTTTCGCAGGAAAAGCCGATCTTGGCCCCAACCTTCTGCAAAATCGGCCCTCCCCACCGCCGGATTTGTTGTTGTTATTTATTTTTCTAAATTAACTCTTTCTGTGTCTTGCTTTAATTTTTAAAAAGAAAAAAAAAATCCTGTTGCAAATCTGCCTCCTCCCCGTCGCACCGACTTCCCCCTGCAAAATCGCTCTCTCTCCCCCCCCCCCTTTCTCCTCGCGAGCACCAAGCTTTGGGTCCTGTGTCGAAATCTCGCCTCTTTTTTTGCTAACGGTCCTGCCTCTTCGTCTTTCTTGGCTGGGGGTGGGGTGGGGGGGGAGGATAACGGTTTGGCGCCGCCGGAGTCCTCAGGGCCACGTCCCTTCCAGAGAGACTTTAGTGCAAAAGAAGGAAAAGGTGGGGGTGGGGGCGCGAAAGGGAGGGAGCGCGCGCGAGGGGGAGCGCAAAGCTGATTTTAATCACTGTCATTTGGTCTGATGTAATATTTCCCGGGGCATTTCCCAACTAGGCATAAATTTGCAGCTCCCAAATAAGTCAGGCAGGGCACGTTTTGCACATCGTTGGGAGTCCTCCCTCGTTACAACGAGGGGAGCACCCGGGCCGCTGCTGCACTTGTTGATAAACTGGAGCAAGTTTTGGAGACGGGTTCTCCCCCCTTCTTTTAATTACAAGACGAGCTCAGCGATCGAGGGGCTCAAACGGAGAGCCAAGCAGAATAAGCCTTCCCTCCCCTTTTCGATGACTCCTCTCTGCTCTTCTTTGGGGATCCGATTTTGTTTTATTCTCTCCTCCCCGACCCCCCCCCCCCCCGCGCCTCGGCTTGCAAACGCTCCCCCAATGCCCCGCAGGCCACTGGAAGCGAATGACGTCCGCGGCCAGGCATTGTGCGGCGGGAGAAAAGCGCCCTGGCAGGCCGCCTCGGGCCAAATGCGCCATTTCCATTGATGGCGCACGGCGAGAGATGGAGATGTCTGCCGCCGCCGCCGCCGCCACCGAGGCTTTGCCCAGGCAGGCGAGCAGCTCCAGGGGCGCTCCTGCTTCCTCCGGCCCGGCCGCAGCAGCCTGGCCGGGCTTCCTCCCTCTACCCCCCCTCCCCGCCTGCTGGAAGCTTTCTCTCTCCGCCTCCTCCCTGCGCCTCCAGCCTTCGCCATAAACTTTGAACAAAAGCAGGTCGGATTGCGGGCCAAGCGTTTGTGCAGCGCGCTCCCTCCGGGGGAAACCGCCTCCAGCCCTCGGCGCCCCAATGAGGAGCGCGCTTGCCTCCCCTTGGCTGGCTGGCTGGCAGGAGCAACTTTCTGCCTGCCTGCCTGCTTGTCTTGCTTTCTTCCTAACATTCATGGCCTCCCAAACTCCTCAATGTGCTCCCGCGGAAGGAAAGAATGGACTCTCCATCGGCTTCGACGTGCGCGGGATTGCACTCAAGGCAGGCAAAACGACTAATCTTACCCCGGGCTTCTCCCCCCTTCCAAATTATTGGAGAGGCATTTCTTGATAGAGGGGGTTGGCCTGGGAAGTTCCTATTTGATAGCCTGTACGTTGTCAATTTCACAGATATGAGCGCCATCCCTCCAGCCTTTCTTGCCAGTGATCAGTTGCAACTGCAGACGTTTATTTCCTCTCCTGGAAGGAACAAATAAGGATCCCTGTCGCCCAATCATCCAAACTAAAACGCACATCATTCTCCACTGCCCCGCCCCCCCCTCCAGAAGTTCCCATTAACCACTTTTCCATGCGCACACATTCCAATTAGACCAAGCCGAACTGATGGGAGACGTGCGTCCCCACCCTTCGTTGCCCTCTCAAATTACAATGGTTAACTGCAAGTGTCCATTATTAGTACAATTTTTCCAGAATATCCTTCTTTTTAGCTTTACTGTAAAATCTGCACTAAGGACATTGAAATGTGTGTCAGTGTTATAGAATACAGCAGTTCAAGAAATTGACAGACATAGCTAGGAGACCTCAATTATTCACTTACAGTAATTAAAATATGGGGGCAGAGAACTTTAAGAAAAATATCCATTTGTTTGTTTGTGTGTGTGTATTCATTCATCTGACCCTGGCTTCCCCAACCAGATGTTTTCCATACTGAGGCTGATGGGAATTGTAGTCCAAAACATCTGGAGGGCAAAGCTTGGGAACAGTTCCGGTCTATTGGAGCACATTGCATCGCCTCCACCTTGAAGCATGTTAAGTCTCCCCTGTGTTCCTCTCTGCAGTTCCAGTGAGTTCTGTAGCAGTTCTTAACTGGAATGTTGATCCCGAGGAAACTATTCCTTCTCTTGAGATTTTGTATTACTGACTGCCACCACCTTCCCCCGTCTTACTTTCCAAATATTATTCTCACTTTCCAAATCTTTTTTTGAGTACAGTGGTACCTCTGGTTACGAACGCTTCCGGTTACAAACACTTCTGGTTACGAACGCTTCAGGTTATGAGCTCCGCTAACCCAGAAGTAGCTGCTCCCAGTTGTGAACTTTGCCCCAGGATGTGAATGGAAATTGCGCACTGGAGGTGCACGCACAGCGGGAGGCCCCATTAGTGAAAGTGTGCCTCAGGATAACAATGGTTTCAGCTTAAGAACCAAGCTCCAGAACGAATTAAGTTCGTAACCAGAGGTACCACTGTACAGTAAGCCCTCAACTTATACTCTACACGGGGTTTATACTCTAGGGATCATTCCTAAAGCAAAACTTGTGTATTGTCAGGTTCAATGGTGCACTGATTGCCAAAAGTATTTTTTCCTGGAACTCTGCCCCTTTTTAAATTTTTTGGCAGGTGCATAAAGCTGAATATGCACAAGTTAAATACATGGAATTTGCAACCTTACTGTATGTTCAGAGGCTAAGGTTCTTGTATTAATTTACAAAGCCCCAAACAACGTGGGTCCTGGGTACCTCAGAGATCGCCTGATCCCTTTTATCCCTGCTCGATCACTGAGATCATCTGCTGGAGGGTCTGAGTTGTCAAGGCTGGCTTGACGACAATGAGAAACTGAGCCTTTAGTGTCATCAGCCCAGTCCTGTGGAACACACTGCCACTAGAGATTTGGCAGGCACCTTCTGTGCCAACTTTTAAATGCCTGCTGGGCCTATTCTGCCAGGCCTGTGCAGGCAATTAAGAACACATTCTTCCACTATGGTTAATTGATGTCTGCTTTTAATTTTTTATGATTTTATTGTATGGTTTAATGTTTTTATCGCTGTAAACCTTTTTATTTTTTATTACATTGCGGTATACAAATACTTTTATAAATAAATTTTAAGAAATATGTCTGTTGGATTTAAACTAAGTTTAAACTTTAGCGCCTACTAGCCACAAGGAGGAGCAACTGCAGAAAAACTATGCAATCTCTGCCCCCCCCATCACTGCTATTGTTCTGAAATGGCTAAGGAAAATGAGAATCACCTTTCCTGTTTCTAACTTTTCCAACAAAAGTCAAGGCCACATAATTTTGGTCTACCCACTCTTGGTTTTCCTGATCCTTCTCCTCATTACCAAGGGATACAAAGGAAAAGACGCAAAGCCTCTTTAATACTGAGGGTTCAGGGTTTTTGTGTGTTTTTTTGGCTTTTTTTTTTAAAAAAAAGTTATCTTCTGTAACAAGGATAAACAGAAAGTTTTTTTTCCTAAGGGGAATTTATTTATTTATTTATTTCCCAAGTACAAACTACAGGAGAAGAGGGAAATTTTCTCATTAAAGTTACATCCCTGCAGTTAGTTCAATTACTTGATATATGCAGAAGATGTTGTAAATTTAAAGATTTAAATAGCTTACAAAGATGCCGGAGGCTCCATCAGTTAATTTCCTTAATTTATGGATTTTTTTTTAGTTCAGCTTCTGAAATGGGGGGGAAGAAGAAAAGAAAAGAAAAAAAAGAACTAGGTCAGTGGAGAGATTTGCATCCAGCTCAAGATTTCCCAGTTTGGTTCTGCTTTGTCCATCCCAACCAGCTCTGGGAGACAGTCAGTGGTCATCAGCTGCCCACTGACCTTATGAAGAGGACCGGTGGCCTTGCCCTCCAGATGGTTGGACTACAACTCCCATCATCCCTGAACACCAACCATGCTGGCTGGGACTGATGGGAGTTGAAGTCCAACAACATCTGGCAGGCCAAAAGTTCCCCATTCCTGCCCTAGAGGCATGACTTAGAAAGGGGGAAAAATGCAGCACTCGAAGGCAGGATCCGATCTGAAACATGAACTGCATTCTGAACAGCATCCTGCTTGCCAGCAGATTATAGGTGCAATTAGACAAGGCTGCTGATTTGGCCTTTCTGGGTCTTTTCTAAGTTTGTGATGGCAAAGCTCAGAGATAGAGGAACATCTGCTTTGGATGGTCCCAGGCTTGATCCCCAGGGTAGGGATGGGGATGTTCCTTCTATGAAATCCTGGAAAGCCTCTGCTAATCTTTGGAGACCAGCCTTGGCCACCCCTGGCACCCTCCAGATGTTTCGGACTACAACTCCCAGCAGCCCCTGCCCCAGCATGAGCTGTATTCCAATATATCTGGAGGGTTCTGGGTTGGCCAAGGCTGGTGTAAAAACTATTGAGCTGGAATGCCCTATGCTGTGATTCCCTCTAAGGTAAGTTCCCTTTATACCTATGGGTAACATAGAGAAAATGGCCTTGGGCCAGTTTGGCTTCTACTTCAGGCTACTTATCTCAACAGCCAGATTAAAAGGGCGGCTACCAAAAAGCCACACTGAGATTTAAACTTTACGAGCGGTCGCCATCGGCACAAAAAAAGGAGGCAGCGATGGAAAAGAGATTTGCTTCCAATGACACGTCTCTGCCTATATATGCCACTTCCAAAAATTACATCTACCTCTGTCGTACAAACTAGTAATAAAACAGTATTTTAACCCTCTGGGCGAGTTGATCTCACTTAGAATCAAGTGAACATAAACAGCTTTTGGACACAGGAGCAGTTGGTTTTGAAAAATATGTGTTATGCAAAATTGCTTAGGTATTTGCAACAAACCAGATGCACAATAAAGGAGTGGGGGGTTTTTGAAAAAGAAAAAGAAAGAAAGTTGCTCAGAGAAAATGGTAGTTTGCCAGCTCTGCTTGAATCAAGTCCTAGGTCCATTCTCCGATGGCATCTGCAGGCAGGGCTGGGAATGACCTTTGCCTCAAGCCCTGCAGAGCTGCTGGCGGCCAGTGTAGACAGCACTGGGCTAGATGGACCATGGTCTGGCTCAGTACAAGACAGCTTCCTATGATCTGATGCTGCATATTTTTCTGCAATACAAGCCTATATATTATTCTGTGATTTTCCTTTCTTCTGAGTCCTGTCTGGGTCTTTCTGTGGCTGGGTTTCAGTACGTGCGAATACATACATATGAATTAATACTTAAAAGACGCAATACAAACTAAATGAGACCAGGAAGCAGCGTTGCAATGTGATTCAGTATTGCTGTTTTCTGTCGGTAACATTTTCTTTTCCCACTAGATGAAGTTTCTAAGATTTGCAAGGTACATGTCAAGGACGGGTATATAAATGGATTTTTATTTATTCACAACTCGAAGACTAATTGCTTCTCTTTGCCTGAAGGCCAAGAGATTGGTTTTAATATGACACTTCAAAAGTATTCATAGAACTACAGAGATACTAAAGTGTCATTGTTTTAAGAAAGAAATCGCACTGTGGTACTTGTGACCCTGAAAAATAAAATCTTTCTCAAAGTGCTGTAGGTTCCCCCCTCCCCCTCTACCAGAGTTTAATTTAAAGCCCAACTATTTAAAAACTGTACAAAGGAAAAATATT